TATTGTAAGTAGAGGTGGGTTTTGCCATGTTGGTCAGGCTGGTCTCGAACCGCTGACCTCAGGCGATCCTGCCTTGGCCTCCCAAAGTGCCAGAATTATAGGCAGGAACCACCCCACCCAGCTAAGCTGACCCACTTTGAATAGGCCAGAAAAAGAGGGAGCCTGTTTCCCCCCCACAAAAAAACCCCCCAAAAAAAACGCAACCCTCTGCCCCCAAAAAACAAAAATCCTCAAGGGAGTGTTCTTCTCCTTACTCGAGAATAACCTTAGAAGGTATAAAATTGAGACACTCCTCAGGGCAACTGCTGCTGTCTTGCTTGTCTCAATGTGTTTTGTATGACAACAGTAATGCAGCCTGTTGAGCCATCCTGTTTAAGTCCCCAGACCTTTGTCTCCCTGTGGGAGAACTGCCTGTGGTTCCTCTTGCCTGACAAGGTGGCTCAGAAAAGGGACCTGTTTCAACAACCTGATCTTCTTGGGTAGATAGTAGCAGATGATACAGAAGAAAACCAGGAAGCTTTGGGGTGTGCTGGCAGAGCTACTAGATGCAAATATGCATAAGAAAGACCCTATGCTTTTATTATCTATGGAATAAGGCAGGCTGGGGACTCAGGGACAATTGCAAACAGTTTCTTGGGTACGTAATGAAGTTTTAAATTTTCACACCTCACCCGCTATGGCGTCCCGTGTGCCCAAGTCACATTTCTACCCTGCCATAAATACGCCCTGGCCGGAACTGCAAACTATATCAACAACAGAAAGCCATGACATGAGCCTTTCCGGTATTTGCGACACTCTTTGGATTGCCATGGCAACAATAGTTTTAATTATGGTGAGGCAAAATGATAACTTGTCTATCAGATGTGGCTCACTTTTCCCTGTGGACAAAACTCTGAGGGAGGCTTTGCATGTGGCATTTGCTTCTAGGATGGATTTTATTATCTGCTCTAACAGACAGCTCTTTTGCTTATGGAATGAACCAGAAGAAGCTGAAGTCCTGGCTGAAGGGGCTGCTGGACATTGGCCCTGGTGAATGCGAATTGGACCTTTTGGTCTTGGAGGCAGCCTGATGTGCTCGTCACATGTGCATTTAAGTACCAAGCGAGCCACTGCTCTCGAGGGCTGCTTTTGGCTTCCCCTTTCAACCAGTGGAAATCTGCATGTTAGGATAGAGACTAGCATGAAATATCATCTGGTAATCATACTTGACAATGTTCAGGATTATGCTGGAGGGACAAACAAGTAATTCCATTGCAGTAGCAGTCGTGGAAATACACAAATCATAGCAGCTTTCCAATCAGAGCTATGGAGGGAGAAATGCGAGAGAGCAAACCTCTTTCTCTGTCTTCTCCCACTGCCCTTCATTTCTGGATCCACCTGCTTACTCCTTGAATTTCTCTTCATGTTTGGGGAGGTATCACACCATCTCTAAATAATTCTGGGCTCCCTCATTTTGAAAGCTCTTGCAAAGCTAAATAATCTTCCTCTTAGGTAAACATAAATCATTGTCTACCTGCTTTGCTCCTTGAGTAGACCTTTTGATACATTCATTAATTATGGCCACTGCCTGGTGGTACAGTGATGGCTGAGTCACTCCCGTGAGCATCTTCCCTGGAATGCCCCCATTTCTGACACCGAACCGGAAAATCCAATTCAGTATTAAAGAGGCTCTTCATTGTGACACCGGACAGCCAGGAAGTCAGGCAAGTAAAAGAAATATGCCAGAAAAATGCAGCGGCGTGGTTGTAGGAGTGAGTGTTGGAGAAAGCCGGTGCGTGGAATGTTGATGGAATGATACCGGCCTTAAAACCTGCTGCCACAGTTTCTAATCTCTGGCAACCTCTGCAGTAAGTTCTTGATCCTCTGTTCAGATCTGCTGACTCCAGCAACAGTCCAGTTAATCACAATCCCAGCTTTTGAAGGCCAGAACGCCCAGGCACAACTGTTGAGTAGCAGGCACCATGGTTCTGATTTCTAATCCTTTCCCACATTTTTTTTTGGAAAAAGAAAAAGGTCTGGGTTTTTGGTAAATCTTGCTTAACGAATGACACAGTCTCTGTTTATTTTGCTTCCACATTCAGGGAGCTTTGCAGCTCTGATTTTGATTTTGGAGTTTAGGCATGTTAATTAAGCCTTTGTATGGAAGCAGAGGGGTTCTGTTTCTTGTTTGTTAGTTTAATAAGATTTTGTGTTAAGAATGGCACTGAGAATCTGTCAGAATTAGCTTGGCTGCATGTGTGTAGCTCAGTGCTTTGAGACCCTTGAAATGTCTGTTTTTAGGACATCAGCAGGGGGCTAATGAAAAGGCTTTGTTGATTTTAACGAATTGCAAGCCACTGTAGCCAAAATAAATATAATCTGCTTTTTGGATTAGTTGTCACAGATGATTTTACCTACTAACAGTGATTAAAGAACCCGAGTGGACCAGAAGCATAGCTGCTCTCTGGTGACTCTTGCTAAAATAGCAATAAACAGAAGTAAATAAAGACTTAGGGCATTAGTTATCTTTAATAAACAGTGACACCAAATATACAATGTGCAGGCGTGAAAGGGTAGGAGTGGAGGCTTAGTGGAAGATCCGGGTGTCAAATACCTGTATGGTGCACAACAGTACTGCTCTTGCTGCCACAAAAACTTGCAATTGTTGACAACAACAAAACCCACGGGAAACACTGAAGTGCTTGCTGGTATTTTTCACTAGTTGTAGTTGTACCTCATTAGAAAGTGGTTAGAAACCCAGAACTATCTTCTTGTTTCCCAGATCCCTTTCCAAAGCCAATCCAATTCATTGCCATTCTGCTCTCATCCTCCCTCGGACTCAGGGACCAAAGTTGAAATCCTGCAACTGTAGGATTAGGGTATGAAAATGAAGGAAGTGTTAATTACTTGTGTAATTATTAACCTTCACAGCTGCAGTAATTCTACCCAGTTAATGAACAGGTGACCAGCACTATATCCTTCTTTGTATTTTCCTACCCTGATGAAAAGAATGACTTGCCCCGACCCACAAACCTGATCCTTAGATTTCCCCAGGAAAGTCTCAGGCTCAGTTTTCCCTCATTACTGCTTAACCGCAACTCAAACTAAAAAGGTTGTGTCTGAAATCCTGTTAGGCAGGGCGTTGGGAGCGCTGGCTGAAAGATGCTTTTAGGAGCCAGAAAAATTATCAGGTGGGAAAAGCTACAGTTTTTCCTATTATTTTTAATTTTATCTACTGTTTTAAAAACCGTGTACGCTTCATCTGTGATGGCAAACCAGGTGACAGTCAGAGCCTTCCTTAGCTTCTCTCTGCCCGGGAGGGTAGATCTTATGGTATTTGTTTATAGATGCAGAGACTGGTGTGCCCAAGGCACATGGTGAGTCATAGAGAGAACCAGCACTAGATCAGCGCGTTCCAGTTAGTTCCTGGTGGTAACCGGGTGTTATCCCACTGTTGACTGGCCAAAAGCAGCGCATACCCACTCACGGTTCCAAAGATGATAACCTTCTCCCTTCAGGACTGGTAGCTGTCATTATTAAGGTCTTACCATGTGTCAGGCACTTTACCTTATAGATAGGGTGCCATTTGATAACACACAATAAATGTATTCATCCCATACATATTGCTTGAGTGATCCCAAGTACCAGGTTCTTTAGAGATTCAGCAGGGAATAATATTAATACAAATTGCTGCCCTCCTGAAGTTTTTATTCCAGTGAAAGGAATTAAGACAATAAATGCAATAAAGTTTTAAAAAATACATTATAGGTCAGGTGCAGTGGCCCACGCCTGTAATCCCAGCACTTTGGGAGGCCAAGGAGGGTGGATCACAAGGTCAGGAGATCGAGACCATGCTGGCCAGCATGGTGAAACCCCGTCTCTACTAAAAATACAAAAATTAGCTGGGCATGGTGGCGCGTGCCTGTAATCCTAGCTACTCTGGAGGCTGAGGCAGGAGAATTGTTTGAACCCGGGAGGCAGAGGTTGAAGTGAGCCGAGATCGCGCCATTGCACTCCAGCCTGGTGCCTGGCAATGGAGTGAGACTCTGTCTCAAAAAAAAAAAAAAAAACCATTATATGAGAAGATGGTAGCTGCTATGGAGAGAAAGCAGGAGAGTAAAGAAGAGTTGCAATTCAAAATAAGATGAGTGGGAAAGCCCCACTGAGCAGGTAATACTGGAGCAGAGACTTGAAGGAAGTGAGCGAGCAGCCACCGAGGTTCTGGGGAAGAGTGCAAGGTGGGGAAGTGCAGAGGGCCTCACCAGAGTGCGGTAGGAGGATTAGGGGAGGTCAGAGTTAATGAGAGGTCAGGTTCTTAGGAGTTTGCAGCCCATTGTCAGGAATGTGCCCTTTACTCTTTGGAAGATGGGAAGCCCTTGGGAAGTTTTAGACAGAGGTGTGACACTGTGTCTCTTACATTTCAAAAGCCTGAGAAGTAGGTTATGTTATCCTTGTCTTACCAATGGAACGCAGAGGGAGCACAGAGTAAGTTCGGTTCAGTACTTGCGAAAAGTCACCATGTGACTAAGAGGCAGAAAACACACTGTCTTATTCCTCTACGCTGTTACTACTCTCCGCCTTCTGATGAAAGATGTGTCTGGCATCTACGTGATGTCTTTTTTACCATCAAATGGGATCGTGCCGGTTTTATTTTTTAGATGATCCACCCTTTGAATATCTGGATTCAAAGTCATGTAGTAACTGGACCATTCAGGATACCATTTGCCTCATGAAGTTTATTTTCCCAATGAGACAGCAGAGCGTGGGAAATCTGTAAGTTGTGTAAAACTGCTCGAGGTCACAGAAGTAGGTAGTGTTGGGTCTGGGATTTAAACCTAGTTCTGCTGCCCAATTCTGAGTCGCGTGGCTCGCTCACAGCATAATACTGCCTCTACAACAGTAATCATTTTAAACTCTGCATATGCATTCATATATGCATTCTGCATATGTAGGGAAGGAAATGCCCATAATAATGACCTTTTCCTGCAGCTCCTTCCTAAACGTCTACTTCGTTGTTCCAGGACCGATCCTGGGGCAGGTGTCCAGTTATCTGCTGGATCATATGGAAACCCAGTAGCCAGAAAAGGCAGCACTGTGACAAGTGACAGCATCGTGTCGAAGTAAGTGTTTGGGGACTGTCCTTAGATTTCATTTGTCTCAGAAATTTCTTTTCCAAATCCTATAAACCACCGTATAAGTCTCTTTCTTTGTACATCAGTAACAATCTATTCTGGCTTGTTTCTTTTATGTTTAACTTGAAAGATAAAAAGGCATCATTAAATAGTCTCATCTAATTCTTATAATGAACGTGAAACGCTGTACCACGGCCTGCAAATGCAGGCACACAATTGTATGTACGGAAAAATATGCACGCGCGCGCACACACACACACACACACACACACACTCTCTCTCTCTCTCTCTCCCCCTCTCCCCGCCCCACATACATTCACACACTAGAATTCTCTATTTTCTAGGTCTTGTTTGTAATTTTGACTCGTGTTGATTATCTTGATCAACTCTATTTGAAAGATTTAAATCATTATTTTCCCCGAATGGAATCCATTCCACCTTCTGGACATGTTTAAAGAAGACTTCACATGTACAATCTTTAGAATTTTGATGAACTAAATAAACACTAGTTTTGTAGTGCAAGTATAGCATTGCTCTTTTCCTTCTCTAAATAACTTTGCATTTCAACCTTGTATTTTCTGCAAAGGAAGCGCTGCTACATGAATGAATGATATATTATACAACTTCATCTTGCTGCTGGCAAGTTTTTCCATGGTGCATTTCTGACATTCTCCTGTATCATAGTTCTACCCTTTTGTAGGCTTTGCCTAGCATCTGCCACCATTTCCCTGAATAACATAACAAGATGCCAGTGATACTCAGTCTTAGACTTATTAGAATAAAATTTAATACAGGTGCACTGTTCATTTTCCATGGAACTCTTACTTGGGTGTCTGGCATTTTGAAATAAGAGGAAGTAATTATCTTGTTCTCCTTCCATACACTGACAGGTGGGATGGACCCAAGCAAAAGCTTGGTTCTGCTTAAAATTCAAATTAACACCCGGGTCAGGTCTGTGGTGGTATAGAAACGTGATATTTCTCCTCCACGCAAGACTAATTCCGATGTGGAATGTGAGTTTTTCTTGTCTGATTTCTAGAGAAGGGGCCTAGCTATGGTGATAGGCTGGCTGCTTTTTCCTTGAATTCTGTAAGAGAAGAATAAATAGAATATATTCTGTTTTAATACATTATTAAGGAAGCAACTTTGTTTACTAGAAAACACTGTTAACCTAGCAACAGATTTATACTGGTTGGTGTTCAAATTTCAGAGCTGCTTTTCAGTCCAAGTCTGAGTGTTCTAGCTGTACGATTGGTCTCCTCACCAAAGCCTTTGAAAGATGATGTTTCTCAGTTCAACCCCCAAAGTGCTGTTCCTAAAATGATTAACATTTTGACAAATTGAACATAAAATTATCCATGCCACATGGATGGCATTTTCTCTACGAAGGGAAAGAGTAGTCCCTTGCTCAGCAGGTGACTTGGAATTAGCAAACCCTTGACACTAGGAGAAAGAGCTTGAAACCAGAGCCAATAAGCACGTGAGGCCTCCTGTTCGTAAGTTTCAAAGTTAGGGCAAGCTAATTTCCCATAGTTTCCTTAGTGGATGCATATAAGTATTTTTACTCTGAAATGGAAACGTTAGATAAGGAAGTAAATTTACACAGGGTTATATTTGAAACTGACATAAAAATATGTAACAGGTAATACCAGATATTAAGTATTATCACTAATATGAATTCTAGTTTATAAATGTTATATTCATTTGATATTCATAAGTGTGTGAGGCAGGTAGTATAGGCATCATTATCCTCATTTTCTAGATTAATAAGTGAGTTCAGAGTTTTTTTAATATATATATCTAAGGTCAGAAATCTTATTCTGCTTTTCTGGTTCTCTGATTTCAAATATAGGGCTTTTTAAACAATATAACCTTGACTTTTATGGATTTTTTTTTGTTTTTAGCTAACATTCTGCTTTATTGTAAATATTTTAAAATTTTAACTCAAAGCATAGTTTATCACAGAAATTTGAGTTACAGAAAAGTTCCATTAGGTCATTATCATCTTTATTTTTAAATCTCATAGTGAAAAATTAAACAATAATAGAGACAGGAAGTCTCCAGAGACAGGAAGAGGATTTGATGAAGTTTGAATGTCAGGAATAAGCTGAGTCTATAGTGTATCTATGCAGAGAAGATTGTGCTATCTAGAATTATAGAGAATAAAAATCTGCAATTTGTTTTAGCCTTAAAAATAGGTAACACACAGCAGCTAATTTTCCCCACACCACTTTGTAGAGTTGAGGCAGAATCAGGTGACTGAGTCAGCAAGTGAGCAAGGTGTTCCTTTGAGACAGCAGGCCACATATTGCTTTTCCAAACTCCGTGTGTACATAATGGCTGATTCCATTCATTAGTATGTTAAAAATGAAGACTATGAGAATGTGGGTTATTTAAAATAACCCTAAAAGTCCATATTTGAGAAGAATTTTCCCAGGAGTAAACAAAATGAACTGTCCCAGAAGCTGATGTTTGGAATTGAATTACAAATATCTTCGTAGATTTTAAATTTGGCAAAACATGTTCTAGCATCATTTAAAAATAACAACTTTAAAGGCCTCATAAATAAAGACATAAAAGGCATTTTGACATTTAATACAAAAACAGCATTTTGATGAACTGGGTAAAAATGAATCAGAGACATATGGATTACATATTTCTTATAGTGCGCCTGAGTTTTAAAATTGAGGCAGTGGAAATCTGGCAAAATATTTTTGGGGAATTTGCTACATATACTATATTTAAAAAGAGGTGAAGATGAACTCCAGACTGCTATGATTGCTCATGACATTGAATTTGATAACTTTTAATTTGCGGATAAGAAATTCTTGTGAAATAGCTCAATCTGTCTATGTGTTGTAGAAGTGAGTGGATGGAGAGAGTACGTACCAATTAATTCGATCACATAATCATTCAACAAACACACAATGCCAGGTTCTGTACTAGGTGCTGGAGTGATTTCTAGGATGGCTAACATGAACTGTGGACTCTGCTCTCGTAGGAGGCGTAGACAGTTGTAGGAAGGGACTCACAAATTTCTGAGTACTTTGGGATATACGAAAGAGACCACTGACAGAGTATTTACTGGGTGTCAGTCACTGTGCTAACCGTATCACATTCATTATCATGTTTAACTGTGAGATCTCTATAAAATATGAATTATTATGTTCCCTTTTAATGGATGAGAAACATAACATCAGAGTGTATAGGTGAGGTGACTTGTTGCGTGTCAGTGGTAATTGGCTACATTGGTGGCTTACGGTGAACCATGTATTTTATACTCACACTCTTGTCATCACTTCTGGAATCAAAGCTGGCCTGGGGATTCACTTTAACCAATAGACTGTGGCAGAAATGGTCTTGTTCCAGTTCCAGACCTAAGCATTAAGTAGACCTGGCAGCTTTCACTTCTGTAATCTTGAAAGCCCTAACTCACCTGGTTAAAAAAAAAAAAAAAAAACAGTCTATTTACCTTGCTGGAAAGTCTACATGCTGAGACCATGTAGAGAAGACACAGGAAAAGGGAGAGAACATGAGACTCCAGGGGAGGAGAGAGAGAGGTTCAATTGAGCCCAGATCCCAGCCAACTAGCCGGCTGAATGCAGCCATGTGAGCAACCACCAGTAAGATGAACTGAATGGTGCCACTGAGCCCCGCCCCAACTATAGACTCCTGAGCAAATACAATGGTGGATGTTTATAACCACTGAGTTTTGGGTGGTCAGTTACAGAGCAAAAAAAGAAAAAAAAAAAAGATAAAAGCAGTGGCTGAGTGGAATTTGAACCCAGATCACTCTGGCTGTCATGTATATACATTTTTTCCCATTGTGTTTGCTCATAAGATGAGGGTGAGGAGTGGAGGAACAGAATCTGGTGGTATCTGAGCACTTCTCAAAATGGTCTGCATCTGACATGAATGAATTCTGAAAAAGAAAACGTTAGAAGACTCTTTACTTTGTACTTTAGAGGAAAAGAGGAACACAGCAGTGGTATAGGACCCATCCCCAGGGCCTTCTTGCTGCGCATACCTGGCAGTGCGTGTATCAGAAAGAACATGAGCATGTGTCCCCATATTCTCATTCCTGATCCTCTTCCTGGGCAAATGCCATGTAAATGTTTGTATTGACTTTATTTAGAATTATCAAACTAATAATGGATGCTAATGAATTCCTCTCTTTCACTTGGGAGTTTATAAAGTGAGCACTGACAGGAACTTTGAAAAGTACACAAGTTCAACACACACATACACACATGGGGGGCATAATGAACGGTGACATGAAACAAACGGTGATCAAAAGATTTGAAACAGGGGCAGCATGCAGCGGTCAGGGAGAGCTGAGGGTCCCTGGCTGATAACACAGGGGAGCACTTGAAAGGATAATTTTCTGGCAAGTCCACGTTTGAAGTGATGTCATCTTTTTTATTCTCTCAACTCAATTGCTTCTCTGAAGCTCATTCTTTCCATTCTGATGAGGAGCAAAAATGTTACATCAAAGGTTAATGCTTGAATTGGGGCTGAAAGAGAGAGGAGAGTGGGTGGGCGCATGTACACACACACACACACAGTGGTAGAAAAAGAGAGAATCACAAATGACTAAAAGTTCTTAAAAGTACGACATAAAGGAAAATAGCCATCTTCCTCCCCTGGCGAATAGTTCACAAGATCTCCTAGAGTTTGGATGTGAACTGTCACGCTGCATACCAGCAAGGGTACTGTCACTGGCTGTTTCCTTTGGAAGCTCCAGGTAGTACAGTGTGTGAAGAGGGACACTGTGGTACCATGAGCACTTCCGGTACACAGCAAGCTCCTGATTTGCTGAAATAGCCATTCCTGGGTTCTTTTCCCAGCATTACCTGGATGTGAGTTGACACGGCTCTTTTTCCAGCCTTCCTCAGAAGACTCTCTTGAATAGATTCACTCTTGCATCCTGTGCCTTTGCTACTGTTAACAGCAGTTCAAATTTCTCTTTGTAATCAAGTACTCATTTC